CAAATTCTCAGAGGGCCAATTCAAACATACCTACAGTCCTTTAAGAATAAATTGGCTTCTTTAGTGTTAGCTCAGTGAGCTAGCAGAGCACTAGTCCATTTGTATTTGCTTTCTTCCAAGACCCTTGGTTTCCACTACATTGGTTTCCCTAAATTGTCAAATTTGGGAGGGATTTTTAAGAATTCCACAATCATTTGGAGAAATGTATAAATAAAATCTACTTTGAGGACTTTAACATTGTGTTGTTCTTTTATTAGTATAAATTTAACCCAGGTTTACTTTAGCATAAAATGGGAAGAATATTTTGTCTTTCGAGCCTCTGAAATAACAACATTGACAAGTAGATCCTGAGTATCATCCTGACCATGGGCCTGGGTGCCGTTTCTGCTTTTCAAGGCTAGCACTCTGCCACTTGAGCCATACAGCTTACTTCCAGCTTTGTGGGTAGCTAATCGGAGATGAGTCTCATGGACTTTCTTGCCCCAATGTGCTCTGAGTTAGGATCCTTATATCTCAGCCTCCTGAGTAGCTAAGGTTATAGGCAGGAGCCACCTGTGCCCAGCCCAGTAGTCAAATTTTGAATTTGTAAGTCTTAACTATTTTGTGGGAAAAAAAAATTGTGAGTAAAACCTGCCATTAAGAAAGGCACATCATAACGGAATTCTATAAGACCTTTCAAGAAGAACTAATACCCATACTCTTCAAGCTCTTCAGAGAAGCAGAAAAGGAGAGAGCTATCCCAAACTCATTCTACAATGCCAATATCACACTCATCCCCAAACCAGGCAAAGACACAACAGAAAAAGAACTACAGACCAATCTCCTTGATGAACACAGATGCAAAGATCCTTAACAAAATTCTAGCTAATAGAATCCCGAAACACATAAATCATACACTACGACCAGGTAGACTTCATCCCAGAGATGCAGGGATGGTTTAACATACGTAAATCAATAAATGTAATCCAACACATCAACAGATCCAAGGTCAAGAACAACATGATTATCTCCACTGATACAGAAAAGGCTTTTGATAAGATACAACATTCATTCATGTTAAAAGCTCTGGAGAAAATAGGAATAGAAGGAACATTCCTTAAAACAATAAAAGCCATATACGACAGACCAATAGCCAATATTATACTTAATGGGGAAAAACTACAACCAATTCTCCTAAAATCAGGAAGGATGCCCACTGTCTCCACTCCTCTTAAATATAGTCTTGGAACCCTTAGCCAGGGTAATAAGGCAAGAAAAAGACATTAAAGGGATCTCATAGGGAAAGAAGAAAACTATCACTTTCTGCAGATGACATGATACTATACCTTCATGATCCCAAAAACTCCATCCCCAAACTCTTAGAAATTATAAATCGCTTTGGCAAAGTATCAGGATACAAAAATCAACCCACAAAAATCAGTCACCTTCCTGTACACTGACAATGTACAAGCAGAGAGGGAAAGGAAGCAACCCCATTCACAAAATATTTAGGAATTAACCTAACCAAAGATGTAGAAGAACTATTTAACAAAAACTATAAAAAATTACAGAAGACACCAGGAAATGGAAAGACCTCCCATGCTCTTGGATAGGCAGACAATATAGTGAAAATGGCAATACTGCCAAAATTAATAAATTCAGTGCAATTCCTATTAAATCCCAGTGATGTACATTTCTGAGATACAGAAAACAGTCCAAAAATTTATATGGAACAACAAAAGACCTAGAATAGCCAAAACAATTCTAGGCAAAAAAGACAACATGGGAGGGATGTCGATGCCAGGCTTCAAACTTTACTATAGAGCCATAATAACAAAGACAGCATGGTACTGGTACAAAAACAGACCTGAAGACGGATGGAATAGGAGATCCAGAAATAAAACCACATGCCTACAGTCAGCTGATATTTGACAAAGGAGCCAAAGATATACAGTGGAAGAAGCACAGCCTCTTCAATTACTGGTGCTGGGAAAACTGGGCAGCCACATGCAAAAAACAAAGTGGATCCCAACCTATCACCATGCACCAACATCAACTCAAAATGGATTAAAGACCTTAACATCAAACCTGAATCTCTGAAACTACTGCAGGACAGAGTAGGAGAGATACTTGAACTTACAGGCACAGGCAGGAACTTCCTGAACAGAGTCCCAGGGTCACAACAAATTGGAGACTCGACAAATGGGATTACCTTAAAATAAAAAGTTATTGCACAGCTAACGGTATAGTAACCAAGCTAGAAAGACAACCAACTAATTGGGAAAAAATATTTACCAGCAATATATCAGACAAGGGGTTAATATCCAAGATATACAGGGAACTCAAGAGACTAATTCCTCCCAAACCTAACAAATCAATTACTAAATGGCAAGGGAATTAAAGAGAGACTTCTCAGAAGAAGGGATAAAAATGGCACAGAAACACATGAGGAAATGTTCACCATCCCTGGTTGTGAAGGAAATGCAAATAAAGACAACCCTGAGATACCACCTTACTCCAGTCAGAATGGCCCACATCCTAAAGTCAGCCAATGAAAATGCTGGAGAGGATGTGGAGAAAGAGGAACCCTATTAACACTGATAGTGGGAGTGTACACTTATATAACTACTTTGGAAAGCAGGCTGGAGGGTCCTCAGAAAGCTAAATATTGACCTCCCTTATGACCCAGTCATACCACTTCAAGGCATCTATCCTGAACAACAGGAACCAGGATACAAGGACACATGCACCTCCACGTTTATTGCAGCACTGTTCACAATAGCTAGGATATGGAAACAACCAAGATTCCCACCACAGATGAATGGATTCAAAAATTGTGGTATCCATATACAATGGAATATTATGCAGCCATTAGAAAGGACAAAATAATGGCATTTGCAGGGAAATGGATGGAGCTAGAAGAAATCATGTTGAGCGAGGTAAGCCAAGAGCAAAGAGACAAACGGCACATGGTCTCCCTGATAAGTAGATGTTAAATCCAAAATGTAAGGTGATATGACAAAATTAACAAGACTTAAGAAACAAAGGACCCCACTCATCTGGTCACATCACTACTAAATAACCCCATGCTGCTGATCACATATATGGTATATATGTGCACATTGGAGGGAAACCAGGAGGATGACACAGATCTAGAGGGAATCAGAGAAAAACATACAACAGCAGGAACCATCAGCTGCACTGGACATTGACCAAAATGAACTAAGCAACTCAATGGCAGCGATGGGAGGGAGGGAACAAGTGGGAAAGAGGGAACAGCTGATGCTATGCAAAACAAAAGAAATGTACATACCACCCAATGTGGAAGAAATAACTATTGCAAAGCTCATAGAACTCATAAATGTTATAGACCACGATAGACAATTTACCCCATGAAAGTTAGAATGTGTTTGTGACTTTAAGCATCACTGTCCCACAATACTGGGAAATTATGTAATCACTTAATCACAATAAATAATTTGAAAAAAAAGGCACATGCTGAGCCATTGTATGGTGTATAATTTTATGTCAGAAAGATGAAATAATGCCGTGGCATGTAAACATGGGCAAGAGTCAGCTGTTGGGGACAGACATCAGAATTCACTATGCATGTTAATTCAACTAAGCCTTTCAAAGGATGATGTGCTCTGAAGGGAGGGTATCTGTTGACACTATAAAGCTGTATCTTACACTGATGGTGTTTTTATTTTGATTTCACTGCTGTTAATGTTTACAAACAGCCTATCAGTTTCTTGGTGTCCTTTAGGGCAAGTGGTATAAGTAGATCATCTTTTGAGGGTTTAATCTGTTTTATTTAAGTTTAAGTCATGTCATTTTGTGGGCTAGCCTCATATAGGTTTTCCTTTCAAAGTGAGAAGTACACTAGTGTTATCAACAATACCATTTGTCTCACAGACAACATCAAGCAACAATAGGAGATAATTTTGGTTGTTACAGTGGGCTGAAGGGAGAAGGATGCCGCGTTGTATACATCTCCAGACAGAGCACATACATTTACTACTTATTGCTTTAGTGTAATCTAAAGTATTTCTCTTCCTATATGTTTTTGTAACAGAATACTACAGACTGAGTAGTTAAGACACTGATTTCTCTTCATTCTGATGGCTGGAAAGTTCAAGATAAGTCCAAGTCCAGTGTTCTGTCAGGACTGTCTTTGGCTTACAGATGGTTATTTTTTTGTCTTAAGTCTTGAGCTCAGAGCCTTAGCATTTGTTGTCCCTTAGCATTTTTGCTCAAGGCTAGCTAGCATCATTCTAGCATATGAACCACAGTTCTACTTCTGGCTTTTGGTGGTTTATTGGAGATATGAATCTCATGTTTTCCTGTCTGGGTTGGCTTCAAACCATGATTCTTAGATGTTAACCTCCCGAGTATCAATGATTATATATAGGTGTGAGTCATCCATGCACAAGGCCATAATCTTCATGTATTCATTTTCATATGGCAGAGACAGAACATGCTCTTTACAGTCTCTTGCAAGAGCACTCTTCTCCCACCATATTACCTCCTGAAAGCTCTCCCAATATGCTGGACATAACGGTTTTAACATGGATTGCCAGGGAATGGTAGGGGCAGGGGTGGGGGGTGGGGGCTGTGCTTTGGTGAAATCCACCAATACTTAGTCTATAGTAGTACCTTAGAACTGCTTCCCCTTTTGGTGACTAAATATGGTCCTTCCCCCAATAACTATATTTTAATGGGTGTGCACGTGTAGCCTTGCTCAGTATTTTTTGTAGGGTAGGAGATACTGAGCAGCAAAGTTTTTCTTCCCCCAGAATGTTTGTTTGTTAATGCAGTTTGACAGTATGGTAGATACTGTGCTGGATAGGCACAGAAGGGTAGTTCAGGCTAACAAGCAGGAAGGCTTAGAGGCCGAAATCTCAGTGTCACTTACTCTGGGTGGTCACATTGAATTCAGGGTCAAAAGTGGCAGAGGTAAGGCTATTAATAAAAACACTGATTAAAATAATACACTTAAAAACAGCCAAAGATAATTTTATTTCATCATTCAAAAATATTTTTCATATAATAATATAAAAATATTTAATATTCTAATTGTAATTTTACATGATGCAAAAAGTTACAATGAAAAATTACCTGTTGCGTACAAGGGAGGCAACATAGATCCAAACAGACAAGACATTTTTGGGATATGGGTGGATATATACAGCCAAAGCAAATTCTACATTAGGAACATCAATATTATGCACCCCAGTGCTATACACGGCTTCAATTAAAGGCTTCACCTCAGAATAAGGCATGTGAAGAGGAAATCCCGAGAGCTGGGGGAAAGAACCCATTGTAGTCATTAGTGAGATTTACAGATAACAGATTTTGCTCATGTAATCTATATAGTAAGTCTTTCTGGATTGCAAGGTCATTAGCTCTATTCTCTTTGTCTGTATATATTAGAGATGAAAATGGAGAGAGGTTTATTCTGGTGTATAAAGCATCCTTCATGGTTCCCTTTCCCTGATAGCATCAGAATGCATAAAAATTCAAGTCTTCTGCAGACCTAGGTAAGCTAGTCACTCCACTCCACCCTGACCAATGAAATTACAGTGAGTGTCGGGAGTCTGCTAGGAGACGGCACACAGCTGCTCAGATCTGAACAGTATGTGTGCAGATAGGTGTCTGCTCTGCTCTGGTATTTGCTTCTCAGAGTGAGGTCAGCCTGAGGACGGTGCCACATGCAGGAGCGCAGAGTGGGGCTCAGGCCTGGTAGCTGCTCATCTCCACAGATGGTAGGCCCACGGATTTTCCGCTCGAGTCTGCTTAGGTTTGCAGTTAGTAAGTTGAAAACATTCTGAGAACCTGAGTTTTACTCGGACCATTTTAACCATCCATTTTTAAACTCCTGAGCCAACATGGCTTACTGTCTTATCCAGCTGCCTCTAGGTTTTATTATATATAGTTGTAAGAACACAGTGCACTAGCAATGCACAATAGAGAGGATATGTTGTCTACTGATGAGAAATTTTCTTGGTGAATAGCATTGTTAAACCTTATCTTTTCATTTTTATGTACACTTCAGTCTTACGTGATACAGCTAGCTATTACCAGTTTAATGGTACTTTGGGTTGTATTTCATAAAGGATATTAACATTTCATAAGGTCCTTTTAGAAAAAATGGATTTTATTTCTATTTTTGTCAGTTGTATGGCTTGAACTCAGAGCCTGGGCACTGGCCCTGAGCTTTTTAGCTCAGGTCCACTTCTGGTTTTCTGGTGATTAACTGGAGATAAGAATCTCATAGACTTTCCTGCCCTTCCTAGCTTTGAACTGTGATCCTTAGATCACAGACTCCTGAGTAGCTAGATTTAGAAGCATGAACCACTAGCTCTTGGCGGGATTTTCATTTTATAGAGGTTTTTTGTTATTTAATGATAGGCTATTCACTAAGGCTTTGAAAAAAATCACACCTTTTAGTCTATGCTGTATATATTTTGATTTCCAAGACCACTTAATGGGTAATTGAAACTTACCCCATTAGAAATGGGTGTGTGCAGAGTCAATTTGAGCCATCGTGCTTACCCTGTAGTCTCCTAGCTGTTTGAGTAGTTCTGCTTGGTGGTCATCTTCCACATCTTCTCCTTGACTGCTTTCCAGAAGAGGCAGGAAGTGACGCAGAGTGGAGGTACAGTACCTGTTCCACCGAGTCAGATAGCGTGGCCGCCAGTCCATGATTTTTTCTTTTAGAATTTTTTCAATCCTGTTTATGGGAGAGACTCCATTTCTTGGTGACTTGGCTTTACTCATGTAGTGGGGTCTAGGTGATTACACGACTACATTTTTGTTGGTGATGTCATTCATTAGGCAAATTCATAACTAATAGGGGTTACTTTCTGGGAATTGAAAAGTTACGAGTGTTCCTTACGGATTCTGTATTTGTTGGAATGGGACATAAACCTATGAATAGAAATGACATTCTGAGGCCAATAATACATTCTTGAAAATAACCAGAAAAAGCTAGCCTGGAGGACCAGAGACTAGCTAACTTCAATACATTTAGCAAGGTAGCTTATAAAATACTTTATTCACTGGTGACATAAAACTAGACCAATGCTTATGTTGGGAGCCTCAAATGTTTGTTAGGCTTATTCCACATGACTGATTTTCTTCTCCAGTGGTGTTTATTCATGATTGTAGAACTTATTTTCTAAATTGCCTAAAACTGCTATAATTTAATATTTAATTTGTATAGGTATTGGGGGGTCATAGGATCTGAAGCTTACACACAGAATGAAGGAAAATAGCTATTACTTTGTAAAGGTACTGGAATAAATCTTTGCATCCATTGCTATTGAATCCCAACAATGACCTCATGAGATAGGGGATACCGATTTTACAGATTTAAGGAGATGTGGAGGTCACAGAGAAATGAACTAAGCAAGGCAAAAGAGCTGGGATCCAAGTAGAAAGACGATTGATGCTGAAGACTTTTTGTCTATCTAACTTACTGCACCAATTTAGATATTTGGTCAACTTTCCATCTTTATTTGGGGTTTCAGAATGGCCTAAGCAAGAAAGATCAATTGTCAAAAAACACTTGAACACTGGCGGAATAGATGACTGGCTCCTAATCAAAAGTATGGTGAAACGATCAGGAGAAATACTGGGTTTATAGAAAATCATTATTCATATGAATTGCAGTCTTTATGGAGAACTTGGAAGTAAATTGGTGTTTCCTAGTAATAATGTCTTTAAAACAATCACAGTTAATCCCATGTAATATGATACATTCCTCATGCAGCATAATCCACTAGAAACCACACAATGGCTCTGAAATTCAAAAGATCTCTGTAGTCTCAGACATCCCTCCCACTTAGCACTTAAAAGACAGCCTACATCTCAGTCTCCACATTTGTGAAACTGGGAGAATAAGTTCTAATTTTCCAAGACTAGAGAAATTACAGAGATTCACACAGGCTCTCACTGGCCGCCTGGACTAGGTTCATAAACTGGTTAGTGTTCCACAAACCACTAATTGGACAGAAGAAGCATATTTAAGCTGTGGATTATGCTGTGTCCCAACAAGACCCATAATTGCATGATTTTCAGCTCTAAACGGAGGTAAAGTCTTTGGAGGACAACATATTCCTTGTGTTCACCTCTGTGTCCTTCCTACCTCTTGTGCTGCTGCCAAGGCCTCTGTTGAACCACAGGATTTAGAGATCACATCTGAACTTGGTATCTTCAGATGTGAATTAACATTAAATTGCCCTAATTATTTCATATTGATCCAAGCTGAGAACTGTTTAAAGTTCGGTCTTACACTGCTAGTGATGGGATTACTTGTGGATTTGTGGATTTTTATCATGTTACCTGTCTTGTAGCTCAGCAGCAGCTGCTTTGTCTGTGCGTTGATAAATTAGCTCTTCAGGCTGTAAAAGAGGAAATTGTTCAGATAATATTGTATTGTATACCATAATTTATTTCTTCCATCATTCCAATTCTTAATGCTATTTAAAAAATGTTTTGGTGCGTCTTGGGCTTGAATTCAGTGCTTAGGCGTTGTCTATGAGTTTTTGGGCTCAAAGCTAGCGCTTTACCGTTTGAGCTACAACTTCACGTTCAGCTTTTTGGTGATTAATCGGAGTGTCACAGACTTTTCTTCCCAGGCTGGCTTTGAACCATGATCCTCAGAGCTGACCCTCCTGAATAACTAGGACTACAGGTGTGAGCCCCACCACTGCCACCTTGCCCCAATGCTATTTTCAAACCATGGTCTTAAGAAAAAAAGTTTTGTGTGTATCACAACTTCTCTACGACAGTTGATTTTCAAAGCTTTTTTGAGACGTATGTGCTCCGTTAAAAATACTTTGTATTTTATATATACATTTATATACTTTATATACATATATATACTTGTATATACATTTAGCTATCAAGTAAAGTGAAAATTTTAATATAAACAGCTGTGCTTACTACGTGCAGTCTACTTCTGGTTAGGAGTCTAATGTTATGTTTTAGTGGATTCTAATTTAGTGAATGAGGTCCTAAAATATAGTTTTGTTTTAATATTTGTTGGTTGTGGGGCTTGAATGCAGGGCTGGGGCTCTGTCCCTGAGCTCTTCAGCTCAAGGCTAGTGCTCTGCCACTTTAAGCCACAGCTTCACTTGTTTTTTGAGTGGTTAATTGGAGATGATAGTCTCGTGGGGACCTTTTTCTGCCCAGTCTGGCTTCAAACTCAATTCTCAGATCTTATCCTCCTGAGTAGCTAGGATTACAGGCGTGAGCCACTGGCTCCCAGCTCTGTTTTAAATTTTTTTAATGCTGGCTCATCCATTCACTGTTATTCTCAGCTGAATTATTTAAATTGCCTCCAGTTGAAGACCTCACAACTTGTCTTTAATTCTCTTTTGCCTAGACCCAAAATAGCAAAGAAAACTCCCATTAAAATGGAAGGCAAATTATGTCTCTCCTCTGCTGAAAGCACTCCAGTTGTTTCCTTGTTTACCTAAGAATCAAAGATAAATTTAAAATGTATGTACTAGGGCGGGCTCTCTTTCTCCCTCCCTCCCCCCTCCCTCCCTCCCTCCCTCTCTTATATGTAAATTTGCTTTTGGTGCGAATCAAGTAAGTTTGAAAAACACTATTCTAAATATTTAGTAGTAGAATTGAGAGTCAAGAAATACCTAATTACTTAATAGAAGAATACCATATCCCCTACTTTATGTTTAATTGTTAATAAAGTAATTATACCTGAACACTGGAAAGGCCAGGATATGGAAGGCTTCTTGAAAAAAAAGATTTCCATAGCTTAGGCTTTGTGACATCAAAATTTATCCTTAGTGGTGAGTCATACTGTTGAATGTTAAACCAAACCTAAAAAAAGATGAAGCCATATTAGCACGTATGTATGCTATCATTGAGGGAGGCAGCAGAGGGAACAAGTGTGGACATGGGTTGCACACTAGGTCACTTATTTTGTAAACTTTTTGTTCGTTCTACAATTGACATTTCATAGAACTGTCATTGACCAAATTTCCACACTTTTTGTCTTTTGAAGTTTGGGGAATCTTGTAGGTCTGGTGAAATAGGCAGTTCTTGATTATAAGAAATGTTTTTAGGAAGACCATCAAGACCCTGCCTTCCCTGTTCTTGCTCTTTGCATCCTCCTAATGGCGTTTTTGGTCCAGTTCTTTATTCCCACAGCACTGTGCAGTGTCTGAGATGGCACTTGTCTGGTTGGGAACATGAGAGACAATGACTCTAGGACTTGCATTTGAATTTGGGCTCTTACGTTTACTGACTGTGACCTTGAATGATTCATTCAACTTCTGTGTGCTTCAGTTTCCTCTTCTATAAAACTGAGATTAAAAAATAGTAAGTACCATAAGGTTGAAAAAATTCAGTGAGCTTATAATGCATCTGTATTTCCTAGAATGAGCTTTTATTATTACTACTTACCATTTTTTTTGGTAATTGTCTACTCATCTGTGTCCTCACTGGACTATTGAGTTATTGCCTGAGCACATTTACCATGTCTATTATTTATCATTTTAGTTTTAGCTTCTAGCGTAGCTCCTAGATTGTGGTAGTCACATTGCCACGCAAAAATGGTAAATTTATCCACACAACACATTTAAACAAGTAATACGTATTTACTTAAGATATTTAATCAAGTACCTCCTCAGTTCTAATTCAGTGTGAAGTAGCCAATGGGGCAATCTCTATGGCTGAGTCATGAATGACACAGCAGTCACCAAGTGAAGACATGGAATATCAGATGAGAGTGGATGCTATTCTAGGATGCAGTCCCAGACCCAGTCCTTCGCACTTTTCTGTCAGCATATGTTTCTTTTCCTTAGTTCTCAGTTCCTTCCACTAAAAGAGACAAAACGTACTTCCCTCCCCCTTCACTTTTGGCCAGTAGACTGGGGTGAGTGCATTTGTTCAATCCATGAGCTTAAGTTTAAAAGGTTTGGTGTGCTCCTACTTGCACTTGACTTCCATTGTCACCGCTCTGAGTCCCAGCATAAACACACGATGGCAGAATGGTCTTGGCCACCACTTAGTGCACCCAAGTTGCCCAGCCTTGACTAGCAACATAAAAATAAAAGTCCTAATTGTGCAGGAGTGTACCAAATAGTGAACTGAAATGGGTACTCTTTAGGTAGCTATAGTAATGTAGGATGAGGAAATAATGGAAGATACAGGATTAAAGGAGACGGAGGTAAGAGATGGGGAAATCAAAGACAATTTTGAAGTGCTCTGGCATAAATTAACTTCAGGAGCAACCTTAAAAAACAGGCCAGTTGCCTTGCAAGTTAGGGTATAGACTCCAAGTATCAGATTGTATCATTATTTGTTACTTTTAAAAAGTATTTTATAGTCTACAAATATCTATGCACATGTAAGTATAATTTATAAATAAAAACATTGGCAACACGTGCAAACACTTTTACTGACAGATACTCAAAGTTGAGAGATTAGTAAGGTAAATGATGATTGTAAAACAGCCAGGAAGTGGAGCTGTTCATATGTGTTTGGCGCTTTTTTTTTTTTTTTGCAATTACCCTTTTTATTTCTCACAGAAACTAAAGTGCTGACTTGATAAAGCACTGACTTCACTATTACCTCCATTTTACCAGTGAAGAAAATGAGGGAATGACAGATTTGAAAACTTTTCCAGGCTTTCACTAGTAAGTGATGAGTGAAGTGGAAGTTTTAGGCATTCTGACTCGTTAGCTTATGTTTTTTAGACAGTGCTTCATAGAATAGCTTTCACAGACCCAGACCTTGTAGCCATAATCATTTGAGGCTATAGAAGGCCAGGTGGCATATGGAAACTTCCTGTAAAAATAAAGAAACTCAGTTTTTTCAGGTGATTAATTTTAGTTCTCAAAACACAAACTAGGCAATGGAAGCTCTATTTTAGAAGCAAATACCGAGGATTCAGAGGAACTCTGAATCAAACTCTCTCTCTCTCTCTCTCTCTCTCTTCTCTTCCCTCTCTCCACTTCATTTATTTTTAGATTTTTATTCTGATTCTGTGCAAATCAGCTAAATCATTCAGGTTTCTTTAGGATTATTTAGATGACTTGAGTCTGCCACTGTGCCTGCTATACATTTCTTTAATTGTTCTGTGAATACATGTGTAATTATGTTTACATAATTTTTGGCTATATATTTTTTTCTTGTCAGTCGTAGGACTTGAACTCTGGGCCTAGGTGCTGTCCCTTAGCTCTTCAGCTCAAGGCTAGTACTCTACCACTTGAGCCACAGCGCCATTTCTGGCTTTTTTTGCTTATGTGGTGCTAAGGAATCGAACTCAGGGCCTCATGAATGCAAGGCAACACTCTATCACTGAGCCACCTTCCCAGCTCCCTATATAAAATACTTAAGGCAGTTCATCAATTTAAAAACAAAATCAAGAAAACAATCATCAACCAAAAGAGTTTAAAAAGAAATTTCATTACTCACATTATCTGGGCCAATTAAACAGCCCACACTTTTCAAGGGACAGAATGTATCAAATTGCCCATAAAAATGTCCACTGCAGGGATTCCATATTAAATAGTGATTTTTCTCCCAAGTTAGCACATAGGCTGTTGGACCCTAAAGGGAAAATCCATTGAAAACAGTATTCAATTAATTAGGTAATTAAGATCAATAGTAGGTTGCATGAATTATTCATTATTTTTGTTGGACTTCTGACTTCTAAGATCCCATACTGAAACTTAGAAGTTCTTGAAAAATGAAATCATAACACACTTTCCTGCCCTCTCCCCCATCTTGCATCTGTTACTGCAGCAATGTTGACTAAATAAATATAGGGGTCACTTTTCCTGTCCAGCATTTCTTAAAATTCGCTGAGGAATGTGTGTATGTGTGTGCGTGTGTGCGTGCATGTGTGTGTGTGTGTGTGTGTGTGTGTGTGTGCTTGAACTCAGGGCCTTGAGCTCTGCTTAGCTTTTTCACTCAAGGCTTGAGCCACTACCACTTCTGGCTTTTTGCTGATTGGAGATAAGTTGGAAATAAGTCTCCTGGACTTTCCTGCCTGGGCTGGCTTTGAACCCCAGATGTTGGCCTCCTCAGTAGCTAAATAACGGTTTTGGATGGTACAGGGTCCAGGTTTACCAAAAAAACAAAAAAATAAAAACAAAAACAAAAACAAAACCCAACCTAAAATGCTGTTGTTAACCCATCACATGTCTGTGGGCTATTTTTCAAACACCCCAAAGGACTGTGATGAAGGAAGTCCTGTCCACGGCCTGGTCTGTACTGTGGAGGAGACAGCTCTGCCCCTCTGCCATAGATACCTGTGTTGTCTTACCTCAGGGATAGCACTGCCCATCAGTAGCCAGGCCTTCTTACCCAACCACAGAAAGTAATTGCACAGCAATACCGCATGCTCTTCTTCATCTCCTGCCAGGAGATCAAGAAATTGCTGATGGAAAAAAAAAAGGAAATGTTTCATTGAATAATTGCTTATTTTAGATTGACCATGCACGATTTTCTTCGTGTGTGTAGAAAAAAAACAATTTTTTTTCAGTCCTGGGAATGGAGCCCAGGGCCTTGTGTGCCATATAGAAGGCAAGTGCTTAGCCATGCAGCTACATTCCCAGTCTATATTATTATTAATTATTATTTCTAATTCCTGAAATTTGGGGAAAATTGAGCTAGGAAAAAAAATAAAAATTTAGCTCATCCTGTTAAAACAGATGGCCAAGTTGATTATTAGGATGATTAATGAATGCTGCAATTTCAGATTATGCATAATTCAGCTGAAGTCAGTAACTCTGAGAGGAAGACTTACGTCAGAGGTGCTCCATAGGTCACAGACACCAGCAAATGAAACAGTGTCAGGCAAGAAAGGAATCAAGGACACGTATCGAGCCACCAGTTCCTGTGTAAACCAAATTAGTTTTCAAAAGTAATCAGCAGTGTATCTGTGTGCATACCAGTTCGCTAATTTTCTCTATATCTAACTACTTAATTTAACTTACATTTAACTGTATTTAAGGACTCACTGATTTCCTTTGCTTAATTTCTGATTATGATTATATCTTCTACTAATGCAAATTCCACTTGGTACTTCAACAAAAAACCTATCAATTTCTACAGTTGATTGTTCACTAATACTTTCAGTATCCTAGACTCCCAAACTTATTAAATATATCTATTTTGTAATCTGTACCTGATTGTGAGTTACTCCCTGAGACAATAAGGACTATCATCATCCTCGTTACCTTCAGGCTTTTTTTGTTGTTGTTGGTTGCGGGACTTGAACTCTGGGTCTGGGTGCTGTCCTTGAGCTCTTTAGCTCAAGGCTAGCACTCTACCACTTGAGCTATAGCACCACTTCCAGTTTTCTGTTGGTTAACTGGAGATAAGAGTCTCACAGTTTTTCCTGCCTGGGTTGGCATTGAACTATGATCCTCAGATCTCAGCCTCCTGAGTAGCTAGAATTACAGGTGTGAGCCACTGGCGTCTAGCTTGCTTCAGACTTTTCTAATGGAAACCCCATGCTAAAAATAGGTTTAATTATTAATGATCTTGATATAGTTAATATCCTAAGTGTTATGATACATAGTAAATAAGCAATTTATTGAAAATTTAAAACATTCTCAAATATCACTATTTGGCTTCAGTCTTCCAGCACCGATTATCTATGAACACTTACTGCAGTTGCCTGTTGATTATCGGGGTAGAAGTTCAGGAGCTCCTGGGGAGGGTTTAAAGGTTTGAGATAACGTGTAATAAAAACCGTTTTTCCACTTATGTCAATTACTGTCGTAAGGCATCGACGATTTGGAAACTTCAAGGCACATTCAGCTTGAAATTTTTCTGTTGCTTGAAGTAATTTCTCATCTTCCTGAGACTCAAACTTCAAAAAGAAACATTCAGGGAGTTTATATGACTCTGGGAGATAAAATGGCCCATGCTCAGCTCCCACAGCTAACACGTACTAAATACATGCTTGGAAAGTATGCTTCAGTGATTCTTTTTTGCTGTTTTGTATTTGTTTTTTGATGGTTGAGGGGCTTGAACTCAGGGCCTGGGTGCTGTCCTTGAGCTTTTTTTGCTGAAGGCTAGGACTCTACCGCTTTGAGCCACAGCACCACTTCTGGTGTTCTGGTGGTTAACTGGAGATAAGAGTCTCACGGACTTTCCTGCCTGGGCTGGCTTTGAACTGCAATCCTCTATCTCAGCCTCCTGAGTAGCTAGGATTCAGGTGTGAGCCACCAGTGTCCAGCTTTTATTAAGTTACTCTTATCAAAACCATCATGCCTTGGTGTCCTTCGACATTATTTAATTACATTTATAATTTAGAAATTATTTTGACTCATTATATGCTAATATACATTCCATAAGACTTAAGGTGAAGAGACAAGCTGTCATGTGTAAACTATTTAATTAATAAAGTGATTGATTAAAAAAATCAAACAATGGATACAAATTCTGATCGATGAACCCAAGGACTAGAGTTTTTTTAATGTATACGTTAGTGTTGGCTTTAAGAAAAGGGCCCAGAAATCCGACAGGGTGAGAGCTTCTGTGTTCTGGAGTCTTCTGGTATGACTCAGTGATGTTTTCAGGACAGTAGCTTTAGGATGTCAAGGTGTTGACAGTCAACATGCCTTGTCTCATAGCTAAACAATATAAGCCCTCCTTTTACTTCCTGAAGCTGGATCAGGGCACTGCAATGTCCCCAAAGGCAGCAGCTGGCTGTCTGGTGAACAGCCATTGTGAAGGACCAGAGGCTCCGCCGGGGTGTCCAGGAAGTCAGCTACAGCAGCATGAGGCCGTGTGCACAGGCCTCAGCCACACCCTGCGTCTCCTGTCCTCTCCCAGCTCACCACCTGATGGAGCGCTCGAGGACTGCATTTTCCTTTGTTAAGAATTCCCAGAGCGGACCATTATCTATTGTTTAAGATCATTTTTCTTCTTTCCCTTCTTGAGATCAGGCTTCATGTTGTAACCCACTCCGGTTCCTGTGGCCTAGCCTGAGAGCCTTTTTCTGTATGAACATGCTTGCTTGGTTTTCTCTTGAGTTTACACAGAAAGACAAGTATTTTCTTTATGGAAAATAATTTGAAATGCATGGATTAGTTTTCTTGAGAAGCTTGACTTGTAGTGACAAAGCCCAAGATCTAGGATTAGTTTGGATTCCAGCACATTGGTTTTACCAGGAAGCCTGCCTATCCTGTCCATGTCTTGATAATGGGATATTAACAACATTTCATGTTTATGTTGCTGGTCCTGGGGCTTGAACTCAGGGCGTGGGCACTTTCCCTGAGCTGCCTCTGCCCAAGTACTCTACCACTTGAGCCACACCAACGCTTCCAGCCTTTTCTGAGTAGTTTATTGGAGATGAGAATCTCAGGGACTCTCCTAACCAAGCTACCCTTGAACTCCAGTCCTTAGATCTCAGGCTCCTGAGTAGCTAGGATTACAGGCATGATCCATCGGCATCAGTTTAAATAGTATTTCTCTCTGGGAACCAAATCATAATACTGGAAAGGAAATGGAAGCAGCCTTTTTTTTTTCATCTCCACTGGTATCTTAATTACAATGGAACACTAAAAACTAATAAACTTGCAAACAGCACAATGCACTGTGCACAATAACTTGCCATTTAACAACTTGCTCTTATGCACGAATGTAAGTTTGGGAAGAATCTCTACCTACTCTCTATCTCCAGTGCTAAAATATGTCATATACTGGTTGTTCAGGAATATCTACAATGTAGAATTATGTAGATAGGTATAACCTCTGCCATATACTACCTCTGTGACCCTGGATAAATCGAGCCTTACTTTCCTCATCTGTAAGTTGGAGACCTACTGTTTAACACATCTGTATTGAAGATTAACATACACAGTGCTGGGGATAGAGTAAGGTCTCAAAACCTGGTGGTGGGGACATTACAGTTAATGTATTAATTTACATATAAGTGAGAGGTCACAATACTCTCTCTCAGCTCCAGCAAGTGCAGTGGGCATAAATGCTGACCTCCAATTCTACATTCATAAAGGTGTTTCCCAATAATGAAGGTTGGGGAACACTTGTCAACAAATGGCAGATCTGGAAATTCATGTTCCCTGGAGCTGTTTAAAAGAGTAATTGTGTATGCATTTGTTTCTTTTTGAAGAAATGAATTGTGGTGACCTATGAATGAAGGTCATCCAGCTTTATGATCCTAAGAACTGACTCAGTGTGTAGCATAGCCAAGATGTAAAGGGAATCTATTTCAGCACACTTGCAGATGAATGTGTCATAAAAGAGGAATCCAACCTCATAATATGTCAACATTAATTTTCATCAACTTAACAAAATTCTTCTAAAACCAGAGCATGTTTATAGTCATCTGGCTTTACCTAAAAGTGTAGGTTACTGACTGACCCAACTGTTGGCTCAGGGAAGTTCAAGGGCACACATCTGCCCTCCGACCATCATCCTGGCCTGGCTGAAAGAATGATAAAGAGATGAAAGGAGGACATCCTTATATTACACCAGCATCAGACATGGCTTTCCAAACCCTATGCACTTACCTTTTCTCGAACTGACTCTCCTGGGACCAGCTGGGGCTCAATAGTAATGAACAGGGTGATGTAGGAGCCATCACTCAGGCTGCGGATAGCATCAAAGCCTCTCTCCATGAACATGTTTCTCTCTTTGCTGTAGCCCAGGAGAACTGGAGGAATGTCTATTTTAAATGTGCCATCAACCTGTGAAGAAAATATGGTTTGACAAATATTCTGTTGACTTTCCAACAGATGTTCAAAGGCAAGCGTCAACTCCTTGTTACGTAATTAACATGCTAAAATAAAAAAAATAATACTTCATGCTGGCATTCAAAGCATACCCCAGGCTTGATCCCTTAAAGTGTCACCATTTCTTCTTTTCTTTACTTAGCAGAAAAATGTGCCCAACAGTCAGGCTGCCTAGGTTCAAATCCTGTTTTAAGTTTCAAGTGTCTCAGAGTCCTCGTTTATAAAAAGGAGAATGTAATAGGACCCATTTTCTAGGACTGTTACAATGAATAAATGGATGAATGAATGAATGGAGAGAGGTGTAAAACTAAGAACAGTGTCTGGTATATGATAACTATGCAGTAAATACTGGCTGAAGTCTTTCCCCTTTTCTAGAAAGTCTAGCTTTCCTTTTCTACCTTTCAGATTCTCAATAATTTTTCAAGGCTTAATCTAGCGTCAGTTCTCCCGCGAATGATTTTACTGTCTCTCTACCTTCACATGTCGTTTCTCTCGTTTGTGGAATTAACAGACCTGCCTGGCTTGATCGTCATATGCATTTGTCCTGTCCTTCTAGATGATAACTCTGCGAGTAGAATCTACATGTCACCTCCTTTTATGTTACCTTTCTGTGACACAGAGCAGTGTTTTGAATCCACAGTAGGCCCTCCATAAACTCAGGCTGAGTAAATGACAATCCACTTGTATAAAAAGGAATAACATGTAGAAGCTTCAAAAGGGCAGAATGTTTTTAACTCGTGTAAAGTCAAAGCAAATATCAAGCTATTCGGGGCCGAGGTGTGGGAATTTAAGATGGGTTTCTGAACATGGGCGTGGTTGATAATAGGGGCCAGATAAACTGTGGTCAGAGACTGTCCTGTGTATGCATGCTTGACACATTCTTAACCTCTCTGTGCAAGATGCCAGTTGCCATCCCCACTAGCTTAGCAACCAAAAATGTCTTCAGCCAGTGCCAAATATTCCCTATGGGTACATTTCAAGTCACGGGGTTTGCAGTCAGACAAAACTGTTTTAAAGGACAAATGTAATGAGGTCATTCTCTAAAGATGTGTTGAAACATATAAACCATAAAAGCAGAATCACTTTTTTCTGCTTTTACCAATCCTGTTCTCCAGGGATAAGCAATGTCAGTCTGTTGAGAACAAGTCAAAGTTGAACCCTAGCTTTGTGATTTGAACAAGACATGTAATTCTCTAGGCTTCTATGTTGTCATCTTTTAAAGTGGGGTTAATGATGCCAGGTGTTTTATGAGGTTTCATTAATGTGACAAACCTTCTAGAAATGGTATGTAATATGTACCCAACGAAGTCTTAGTTATTATTATTATTAATCAGTCAGATTATATTAGCTTCAAGAAGTCCCAGAGAACTGACCTAGGAATGGAGATAATGACATAGTTCAAGGAAGAACTTTATGACAAACTAGCTCCTGCGGTAGTGAGCTCCGGATAGAGCACAGACGTGGCAGGGCAGAGAAGAGGAGGACCTTTTATCAGGGTTATTATTTCTGAGTGCCTTCCAAATGTGAAATCCAGAAATGTCAAATATTATGGGCAATTTGATTGGTAAAGTCATGTGCTCTTTTTTTTCAAATCATTTAAATTCTATCCAGAGTGGGAAATGTCAATTGTTTTAGTGGGTACACCATTGGAGCATAACTATAGACTCTCATTTGCCTGGGGATGATTGCAATTACAGTTGATTCTTTTGTGTGTGCGTGTCTCCTGGGCTTGAACTCAGAACTTGGGTGCTGAGCTTTTCAGCTCAAAGCTGGTACTCTACCACTTGAGCCACAGTTCCATTTCCAGCTTTTTGGTGATTATTTAGAGGAAAGAGTCTCACAGCTTTCCTGTGCAGGCTGATTTCGAATGACAACCCTTAGATCTCAGCTTCGTTAGTAGTTAAATTACAGGCATGAGCCACTGGCACCTGGCTAGTTTCTTGAGACCCTAAACAAGCTTTGCTAATGGCCTTGATAGAGACTGTGGCCAGGCAGCATTTACTCAGTGTGATCGTCACAGAGGCTCAGGGGTTCCTGTTGCCATGGATTTAATTCTGGGATGCTCAAGAGATTTAGAATCTTTAACTGTCCCAGATTAAAGCTAATAAGTCCTTCAAGAGCTGTCAACCTCAAAGATGCTCTGAAGCAAAATGGAACTCTAAAGAAAAATGTCTTTGTTGAGCATGTCTGTGCTAATGATTTCTCATGGTTTAAATAGTATTTATTTTTGGAACTATGAATAGAATGCTCTTGATTAAATGGGCCATCAATTGTCCTGATTACCTTCTTTAAGTTACTTTCAGACATCTCTCTATTCCATTTAAGTTATTTTGACAGATTTCAACTTTTTCTCACCTTTATCACTTTTATTTAAATGTTTTAAACAACCCTCATCAGAAAGGCAAAAGTTGAATTTTCCCTCATAGGTGGAAGCTAGAATTAGCTTATGAACATACAAGTAGATCTGTTGGGTGGTATACAAGTATATACACTTGTGTTAATGGAACTGTGGTAGATTCAAGGGAAAACTCAAATAGTGTAATTCCTTAGAGAGGCAAAATCAAAGTTCAGCAAAATAAAGCACCAGGAAATGGGTAGTTAAAAAGGGGAGGGATCAAGGGGCGAAGGGTAGACAATGAAGAAAAGGCTGGGAAAATACAGTGAAGAAGTCAATGTACATCCTAAAAATTTAAGAAGATTGAGGGAAGGGGTGTCAGGGGAGAGATGGGTAGGAATATTGAAAGGGGTGACATTGATCAAGGCACATTATGTTTATAAACCGTTTTGTTTTAGGGCAACTCTTTTGTATAACTACTTAAAGATAATTTAAAAAAATAAATCAACTGTCAAACTTGAGGGGCGTGGTGGTGTTGGAAGAGCTGAGGGGAGAATGATAGAAGGGGTGATATTGATCAAGATATATTGTATTTGTCAATTGACATGTTGAACTGTACAGCTATTTAAAGATAATAAAAATTATTTTAAACATTTCAGATTATACCAGTCATATAGTAACTATGTTTTTTTTTTTTTTTGTCGGCCGTGGGGCTTGAACTCTGGGCCTGGGTGCTGTCCCTCAGCTCTTCAGCTCAAGGCGAGCGCTCTACCACTTGAGCTACAGCGCCACTTCCGGTTTTCTGGTGGTTTATTGGAGATAGGAGTCTCACGGTCTCTCCTGCCTGGGCTGGCTTTGAACCGAGATCCTCAGATCTCAGCCTCCTGAGTAGCTAGGATTACAGGCGTGAGCCACCAGCGCCCGGCTCATATAGTAACTATTAACTCAAAGGCACATACATGTTTAATAAGCCCGTGTCAGTAGAATGTAAGATCAGTGACATTATGTGTCGTGCCTTTTATCTTTCCAAGGGCTTTGTACATACCTTCTCTCAGTATTGAGATGCTAACAGGAATAAACATGGAGAAAGCTATTCCCCATTCTCACAGAATGCTGCCTTTACTTACCCTTGCTTGGAAATAGATGGTGCTAAATGGAATCTTCACACATCCTAACCAGTGTCTCTCGATACGGGTATGGATTCCACTTCCTCTTTCACGGTCATCCTAAAGGAAGTGTGGGAAGGAATGCTACTTCAATAACTCCAGACACATATTTATTAATGTGACAGTAGGAAAGTAGCAGGATTTTAGTTGAAAGCATGTGGACTTAGGTTATACCAACCTAATCACATTCTAGATCACATGCTTAATTTCTCTGTGACCCTTGGAAATACATTTGACTTCTCAATTTCAGTTTTCGGGTCAATCAACAGGAGATTTCACAGTCTGTTTCACAAGGTTATTTTAGAATTAAATGAGAAAATATATGAAAAGCAGCTGGGTGCCAGGGCCTCTTGCCTGTAATTCTAGTTACTCAGGAGACTGAGATCTGAGGATTGCAGTTTGAAGCCAGCCTGGGCAGCAAATTCTGTGAGACTTTTAACTCTAACCACCAAAAAGCCAGAAGCAGAGCTGTGGTTCAAGTGGTACAGTATTAGTCTTGAGCAAAAGGAGCTCAGGGATAGCGCCTAGGCCCAGAGTTCAAACCCCAGGACCAGCCCCTCCTCCTACCCCCCAAAAAAGCAAAGCAGCTGGTATAATTTTTAGAACAGAGTAAACACTTTCCTGAATATGAAAAAGCCAGTTCTCTCCTCCTTCTGTTTGAAAGGTTTGAAATAGATCAAGTTTGAAACATTCCAAACACAAGAAAAATGAAAAATGTGCTAGGGACTTGGCTGTGAAATGAGTGCCAACATCTTCCTTAAAACGGAGCACTTACCTCTAAGATGTCATACACTACTTCATCGAAAATGTTGATGTATACATCGTCTTTCACTGACTGTAGACTGGCGGTGCTGTAATCCCCATTAGGAGCCCTGCAAAATCACATCAAACCAGAGACCATGAGAACAGACAGGTAAAACAGGAATTCTCAGCACTCAGAACATCAACATGTGAAAAATACCCGAGGAGGAGCATAGCTGTAAGAGTTAAAAGCCAGGCCTCCACTCCAAGATTTGTCTTATACAAGGACACGCTGAGATGGTGATATAATGCTTATCCTCCAAGGGAGGGAGCACTGGACCACGTGCTCTGAGGATCAAACCATCCTACTCCCTTGACTTCTCTGATCCTCTGAGCTCTCCACAGCTTCTGCTGCTGAGTTACCTACTCTGCCCTATGGTCAGCTTTACACGGAACCAGTTCACCAGGACCAAGATGGCTCTGGGGACAGCTAATGGTTGCCAGCTAATGGAGTTATAGACTTCCAACGCCATGTCCCCAGCATGCCCAGCTAGTCCGGAAGTTGTTCTGGGTCTGGTCCTGCTGCCCACCCTATTTCTCATAGACGTATGAAGCTGTTAAGAGGTAAGAATTCTTTCCTGCCCCATGACCCACTTGGGCCCCATCCAGGTCAGCCTGAGCTTGCCTGTCCATCGCAGGGCTGGAGATGCGGTGCCACGTGTTTTTAGCATAGATCTGTACATTTCCTTGTGTTTTTTCTTTGCTGTTGTTGGTTTCATGTGTAACCGTAGTAACTGTCCCCCTCTTCTGACTTAACTAGTTTGAATCCCTGATTTGTCTCTAATTTACTATGTAGCGTTAAGTAAGTCACCTTCTTTCTAAGTGTTTTCATTTCTTCTTCATAGAGGGTTAACTGGACAGATGGCTCAAGTGGTAGAATGCCAGCCTAGCTAAGCATGAGGCTGAGTTCTCACCCATGTATTGCCAAGAGAAAAAAAGTAGAGAGATTAGATAAGGCCGATTCAAGTTCTCAACTAATGAAAATCTTTACCACAGTTCTGGAATGCTTGTGTGTCCCTGGCAAAGGAGAAAGGTCACTTAGGGGAATTGGAGTTTGAAATATGCTGCAGGAGAGGGCAGAAGGAAGAAAGGAAAAGCAGGGTGGTGCCAGTGGGCTGTAAGAAGTCAGAGCCTGGGGGGGAGTGGAGTGTCCTAATGGAGTTCCAGTTTTATTCTTGGACAGTCAGCTGGTAGGGAAAGAGCAGAAACATGGGACTTGCTTGGTGTCAGGATACTTGGATCTTATCCCAGTTCCTTAGTTAAAAACGTCTCAGACATTTCTTACTGAGTGTTTCCTTCACAGTGTTTCAAAATATCTCCTATAATTCTCCTTCTTCTTCATTTTTAGAGAGGACACTGGGGTTTGAACTTAAGGCTTTTGTGTTTGCAAGACAGGTACTCTGCCTCTTGAGCCATGCTTCCACCCCTTTTAATTCTTGCTATTTTTTTTTTTTTTTTGGTCATGGGTCTTGAACTCTGGGCCTGAGCACTTGTCCCTGAGCTCTTCAGCTCAAGGCAAATGCTCTACCACTTGAGCCACAGCAACACTTCCAGTTTTCTGATGGTTAATTGAAGATAAGTCTCATGGACTTTCCTTGCCCAGGCTGACTACTCTTGCTATTCATGCCTAGGTTGGCCTAGACTGCAATCCTCCTAGGTGACATTATGCCAAATTATTGGTTGAGATGGGGCAGGGGGTATTTCATAAATGTTATGCCTGAGGTGGCCTCAAACCACAATCCTTCCTACTTTTGTCTCTGTAGTACTGTAGTTCTTTTTGTTGTTGTTGTGGTGGTGGTGGTGGTGGTGGTGGTCAGGGGCTGGGTGCTGTCCCTGAGCTTTTTTTGCACAAGGCTAGCCCACTACCACTCTACCACTTTAAGCCACAGCTTTGCTTTCTGTTATCTGGTGGTTAATTGAGGATAAAAGTCTTTTGGACTTTCCTGCCCAGCCTGGCTTTGAACTGCAATCCTCAGATCTCAGCCTCCCGAGTAGCTAGGATGACAGGTGTGAGCCCCATTGCCCGGCTTAGTACTGTCATTCTTTAAAGGAGAATATATGTTTACCTAAATGGAAGTTCAAGTTCTTCATTCCAACTAGGATTTGGTCCTTCAGCTGTGGTTGTGTGACAAATTGTTCGTTGGAAAGAAACTTCTACAAAGGGACGTACTAACACCTTAAAAATCAAGAACAAATTCCGAAGTCCATCATCATTAGTTTGAATTATTTTGTTCTTAGCAGTATGTTACCAAAGGATGAAGCAGAAAGAAAGACTGTCTAGAAGTAGGAAATATGTGGAGCACTGTGTAAGGCTTGGAAGCCAGGTTCCAGAGGCTCACCTGGCTCAGGGGGAAGTCAGCGCTGGGTGTCGGGCTGTGTGGGCTAGGGGATGTAACATGCTTTTCACTGAAAGTCCTCGAAGATCTTGGTGGCTGCTGGAACTTGCTAGAAGGGAAAGTGTATGGTAGAAATTAATGACAAGGAAAGTCTACCTATAGAAAAGATGGCTTTCATTTTCAAAGATGTATGGCCCTGGGTTGTACTGAGATGCCCTCCATTAGCTTGTTGACATTTCAGGAGACTTTCAAGTGTGCTCTGGTCCCCCCCTCATTAGCAAGTGATTGCCAGAACATTCTCCAGCTTCCATTCTTCAGGTCTGCTTGTGTGGCTGAGAACAGAACAGAAAAGGCTCTCTCCTTCACTCTCCTTCAATCGCCTGAGTGGGAGACTTGTCTTTCCCTCAGCCATGTGAGCCTCCATCCTCCTCAGGTAACAGAATCTTGACAAGCAGCTCATCTCAGTTCTCTGCCACTGTATTTGCTTTGAAGTAAATATGGTAGCTCTCCAATGAACCCCTCCTCCCCCCCCCCCACCCCCCCATCACCTACTCCAGACACAGCATCTCTTTCTCTGGGCCTGCTGAACTTCATGGGGAAGAAGAGCCTGGGGAACTCCTAGCTTGAGCTTTACGAGTGAGTTGTACCCCCTGCTCCCTTCTGCGCTGCAGTTCTTAAAGGAATAAGTGGAGATTGTATCTAGAAAGCATCTTCTAAATGCCAGCCCCATCCTAACAACTAACTAGCTTGCATATTTGTGCTGAATTTTATAGCTTGCCAAATTCATTTGCATTCATTAACAGACAAAGAAACAAGTTGTTTCTTTCTACCAGATTTTCAGCTTTGAACAAAGTTTCAGACAGATCATGAGATTATATGAGTAAGACATGTAACACAACAACTATCAGAGAAAACCCTTTTCTTTTGGGAAAACTAACAATTACATTATTTAAAAAACAAAACACAGAAAAACATGTGTTAGGCCAGGCACTGGTAGCTCACCTCTGTTTAATTCTAGCTAGGTAGAAACAGCTGTTTCTAGCTAGATAGATAGAGATCTATCTATATGATCTCTATAGAATATATGTATTCTCCCTCTATATTATATATATCCTGTATATAGTCTATTCTATATTCTCTCTATTTATTCCATAGAGACCAATCAGTTTTTCATCCCAGAGTCCAGCTTTGAGGCACCAGTTTGGAAAGTTGTATGTGGGCAACGCCTCCAAAGGTTTCAGGGCTTAAGGGGACACTTACAAGTAGAAAAGCATTGAGAATAGTTGGGACCAATGGATGTTTTGTAATAGGTTGAAAATTAGTCACTAAAGAAAAACAGAGCAAAATAATGGGGTGATGGGGACAGAGGAATGGAGAGCTAGTATAGAAGAACATAGGGAAAGAAGATGATGCCAAAAGCTACCATGATGCTCTTTGGATCCAGTTGGTGATGGATGACCTTGGTCAAGATACAACCTTTCCACTCCTACTTTTCCTTGGCAAAATGGACATCGTAGTGGAATTAGTAGGAGTGATGATATAACATATGCAAATGTGCTACCATAGTTTGTACAAGTTGAATGCACAACAAATTCCATATTACTCTGTTACACTGTTAGCAGAAAGCATTGCCATTTTTGGTCCTCCTATGTCTTTCTGAAGGCATGAGATACACAAGATTTATCTCACTTGTGGTTAAGAGCTCCATACTGGCCCCAGGATAGTAAGCTATACTAGCCACAGCTTCTGACAAGTGATGCTTAGTAGTGCCCTAGCTATATGGACCACTTCTACCACATTAAAAAAAGAAGAAGCAAACTCAGGGGAAGGCAGGTGAGAGGGATGTTGGGGCCGCAGAAAACTGTCTTAGCCTGTGTAGTTCAGCTCTACCTTCCTGGCCTTGAAACTCTCTTGGAGATGTTCCCAATACTGAATTGACTCTATCACTTGCAAACAATAAGTAGGACTTTGGCTTCAGTGAGGTCCTCCAGGCCCCACTGCCTAAAAATGACGTGAAGAACGAGCATCCTGACTTGTTGTCTGGGACCCTGCACACACCGTCCCAGGGTTGTATGGGACCTCTCACCTGGCCGTTGGCTTTCTCACTGGAATGTCGTAAGCCCGGACAATGTTCACCAGCAGTTTTATGTCCCCATCAGACAGGTTCTGGGCTGTCACCTTCTTCCGACCTTTTCTCCTTGGCCTCAGTGGTCGCTTTTGTTCTGCCAGCTTGAAAAGGCTCGTGCCCAAAATGCTAATGATTACAGAGCCAGATTAGGGTCCAGTTCGAAGTACACATTCAGAAAATTATTAGATGACCTTCCAAACCATCCCAGGACTACAGGCCCCCCCAAACTCTCCTTTTTATTAAATGACTATTTTTAATTTTTTGAATATTCTCCTTTTAAACAGGGTAGAAACAGTCTCGAAATGAAGCTGATCCTATTGCCTGGGTTGTTAAGATGATTTTTTTTTTGTAGCTGCTTCTCATCAGAACAAGAAAAGCCATGTTCTGGCCTCTGCTGGCCTCCATTACCTTGCTCACCAACCAGCTCCTGAAACCTGCTCTCCTCTTCACATCCTGACTCCTGCCAGACAGCTGAGATTTACCTTCTCCCAGGGACCTAGCCACATTGACTGGAAGGAACTCTCTCTGAGCCTCTCCAGAACTATTACCCTGATCAATTAATCAATTCTGTGTGTGTGTGTGTGCATGCGCTAGTACTAGGGTTTAAACTCAGGGCCATGATGCTCTCCCTTCGCTTTTTTGCATTTGAGCCACAGTTCTACTTCTAGATTTTGGCTGGATAGTCTCAAGGACTTTTCTGCCTCAACTGACTTTTACATGTAATCCTCAGATCTCAGCCTCCTGAGTTGTTGGGACTATAGGCGTGAGACACCAGTGCCTGGTTGTATAGTCTGATCATTTTTATCACAGTTGGTCACACAGTCTTCTCAGGCTGTTTGGAGATCTGGCTGGTGTCAGGTAGACCTGGGTGTGAATCCTGCCTCCATTCTTTGCCCTGGGGCAGCTTATTTCACTGCTTTAAGGCTGTTTCATCGTCTGCAAATTGAGGATAATAATCCCAACCAACCTCTTGGGGTGACTGAGAGGATAAAGAGAGGAGTTTGTGAGCGCCCTGGTACTTAGGAGATGCCCTCAAGTGGTAACTGTTGTGATGATGACAGTTTCTGTATGACTACACTGAAAGCGGTGCAAGGGACCTGGGGGAGGAGAATTCTCTCTCTGCCTTTCATTGACATGATTTGCTATAAACACTCGTTGGAAGATGAAAGCAACAAGGCCAGAGACTCCACGGAGCAAATAAATTCTGGCCCAGAGATTAAATAGAAAGACAGATAGGACTTTGTCCCTGAAAGCAGAGATTGAAGACTATGCCAAAGAGCCACAGACTAAAGCCAGCTGTGCAGTACAAGCCATATGCATCCATCAGTACTCATGACCTTTTGCTTTCCTGGTGATTATTGAGCTGGCCAAACAGACTCTTAGGAGATGTGGATGAGGGCACTGCAGGCCCTGCGTGGTCATGGCTGGTAGATCCTACAGGAATCTCAGGGAGCTGTTCACATTTGTTTTCCAGAATAGGTTGCACAGAATAGGTTACCATTTATAAGTATGTTTTGTGTATCAAGAACACTAGGAGCCTTACATATAGTATTTCTTATCCATGAAGGCCTAAGATTTACCCCATTCTTTTCAGAGTCTCTGAGCAGTGCTTTGATTTGCTGCAGGCTCTTTACCAGTAGAAGGAGAACTAGAGTTCAAACTCAAGGTCATTAACTATCAGAATGCCCTCACTTTTCCAGGATACCTGCCGAACCCCAATTTGCACGGCTTTATCAGCATCCTAACATGACCAAGATTCTCCCTTGTGAATCCTTTCTCCCTCCTCAGGAGCTGACTCCTCTCACGAGGCTTGGATGTTTCCATAGCAGTCAGCCTGAGACCATTCCACAAACAAACATCTTAGTTTAAAGCCAAGAACAAACTGAAATATAAAAGAAAAGAAAAGAAAAGGAACATACCCTGAGCCTTCAGAACTTAATGCAGAAAGTAAAGCAGAAAAGAAAAGAAAAGGAAAAACAGCATGAACAATCATCATCTAGTCTAAGTGAACTTTTCATGTCTGAAAACATTCAGTGACTGTGGACTCTGGGCCTGAAATAAAGATGAAGGTTTTGCATGAATCTATATCATAATGTTGGAGGAGGTGCTATGGGTTGTACATATTTTTTTTTTTTTTGGTCTGAACGTGATTGGTGGAATGAAAGTTCATGGGAAATGACCTTGTCAGGAGACCAAGAGACTAGATCACAGAAAAGGTCAGGAACTGAATGGACCCCACAAAACCACAAACAGGAAGTTGTCTGTGATCTTTTTTGCACTTCTCCCTAACTGAGACCACTACAGTATCATACGAAGTAACAGCAAATACAATCCCTTTCCAGCTTCTAGGTCAACATCAATTTTTTTCCTGCTGCCCACCACCTTCACCAAACATCTTAGGTTTGTGCCTCCCAGCTGTGAGGCTGACCCGACCCTAGAACTTCTGAGGGGGTTGGGGGGACTTAGTCACTTCTGCTTTTATCGATGGGAGTGTAGGAAAGCTTGGTGTTGGGAAGTTGGGACAGCAGAATTTGTGCAGGAAGGCAATGATGTTGGAGTTCAAGGAATTGGAATGAAAATAGCAAAGGCTGGTGAGGTTGGTTTGGAGGAGCAAGAAGGTAATTACGATGGGCTCTACTGGGATGCAAAAGGACTGGAGCTAAGATGACTTATCCTAATAGAAATCTCTCAGTGACTGTTGGTATGAGGCACTAATCGAGCAATTGCATATCATATGTTGATCAAAGCATCTTCTCTGGCATTTTTCATAGAATAACAATAAAATTTCATAGAAAGTATGAATGGTCTTGCTTGATTTACCTGATATTAGGAACTTCTTCTTCTACTACCAAGTCAGTAAGGAGAAAATGGTGCTTTGCGATGAGGAAGCGGTTCACCACAGACTCCCTAACCTGGGAAAAGAAATCGGCTTTGTTTAAAGCGTTTCTCTCACTTCAGCTTCAGAGTTTGCTCTCTTCAACTCCTCGTCTTTGCCCTAATTTCACCTAAGTGTGCCCACTGCCTCTCAGGCTGTGAACTTTCTCCACTGATCTGGTTTCTTCTCGCTGTGAACTCTCTAGTTATCTCCACTAGACTGTAAGCTCCCTGAAGGCAGAGTTGGGGTTTTTGTTTGTTTACTTTGTTGGTTTTTCTTGTTTAGGTCAGTGTTATATTTTCAGTAGCTGGAAATGTTCCTGGCACATAAGATGGCAAAAGTTCATGAGATGAAATTCATTTGAAATGACAAAAAAAAAAATCAGACCAGTTTCAAATAGACAATGCAGAACTGATTATTCATCCCTTCTATTCAGAATTTAAATAGAGGACTTGCTAGCAGCCAAAAGAGTAGGGAACTTCCCATGACAAAATACTGGCTCTTTTCTCCCTGGGATGATGGTCTTAATGGGTTTTCTTACCTGCTGGAGGTACTTGGCTACCATAGCCCTATGGGTGTCGACGTGGTCTTTGGTTTCAATCACATTTCTGTCTCGTAACCGCTTCTCATAGTCCTAAAATCACAAGTGTATTATCATGATTTTAAAGTATGCTCTGATGCTCCTTTTTGGAATTAAGGAATAGTTCATCACATACAATTTAAACCATAAAATATGGTTCTAAGTGTTTCTTTCCCCTTCCTCTCAATTTTTGGCTTAGAATTGGCTTTACATGCAGTATCCAGGATTCTGACTCAGTTAGTTAAACTGCCTTAGTAGCAGAAGAGACTTTTGTACCATAGTTAAGAGTTAGCATATTCATGCAGGGAGGAACAGAGGCCCTGGGTGACACAGAGGAAGCAGTTATCATCGAAGCCTCTGCTTACGTATTGCCTGATGCATTTTAAGTAAAGCACTTCAGAGAATAGTAAAAAGCTCCAGATAAAATATTAATCATAATCAAACTATCTGCTGCTGACCTGGGCCAACTATATGGAGGAAGACAGGAGATGTATCTGTTGGCTTTGTCAATTGAGGCCTCTCCCTTTTTCTGTCAGTACAATTGTGTGAGCCCCTGGGAACTTCCACGTTCCCCTGTGTCCATGTTCACCTACAGCTGGGTGTCCAGTAGTGTCCTAGTTCAGTGACTCAGAGCTGTTTCTCAGGACTTTTGAACTTGGGACAGGAAAACACTTTTCTGATGGCCAAAGATGCTGGTGTAGACTTGGCTGGTCCTGGGGACCATGCTGCCCAGTACAGAAAACCTGTGTCCTCCTTGACAAGGAAGTCAGCACACTGGAAGTCCAGACAGGATGGAGATGGACCAGACAGTGGAGCAGGTCCAGCATCCAGGGGGACATGAGGCACAGAGATGTGCCTGCTATTCCCAGGGGAGGGTATTTAGATATTTAAGCCTCTTTGGGGATTTCATTACCCAATAAACTCCGATTGGTGCCTGAGGTTGCTCAACATTTGGGGGGTTTAATCCCATAGGATCACAAAGCCAAACAAGCTCAAGGGAAAAAAACCAACTAACCAGAAATACTCTCCAAGAATAGTTTCTTCAACAAAAGTCATCATAGTATTCATGATACCAGAGTGCTTTGCCAATGAACCTTAATGCGTTAAAATGCAATTGAATTCTTAACTAAAGCAGGAATAACTAGCCATAGTAATTGCAGAGATACTTATCAACCTTGCAATTCTAATTGGAGGTAATTCGACCAACGAACTCAGAATCCTGGTTACTGGTTAGTTTATATGTCATTATAATGAGACCTAGAGAGTGTTTACATGTCAAGTTCAAGAATAGTAAGAGACAGGTAATATATAAAAGGGCTGACATTTATCAAGATGTGCTGTATTCTTTAACTGCTTTGTTAAGTGGCAACTCCTGTGTATGACTACCAAAAGATTAATAATAACACTAATAAAGTACTCTAAAGAGAAACAACTACTGCTGTGGAGAACAAGAACAGTCAAGTTATAATTGTGTGCCAGATGGCACAGCAGATACCTTCTTAGCCCCTTTAGGCAATTTCTTACCTGGAATATCTTTTCCATAATTTCTCGGTCATATGCTGGAATTTGCTTGTAATTTCGGAATTCTGGTACTTCTTGGTTTCTAAGATGAAGAAGCCTGAATCTCTTGGATCTGTTTAATTCCTCATCTGAGATGAAATTAAATTCCTGTTGCAACTGTTCCAGTCGAAAGAAATCAGGGACATAGGATTCTCCACTGGTAGCAACCTACAAACATCAGAAAACGATCAGTTCTACCGCAGATGAAAAGACAATGTCACCCAGAGAAAGCCAGCCCTGAGCTTTTGGAAATGGTGAACCGTTTGACTGACATTGTTGAAACATAAAATACATTAGCCACTCTAGGCATTCATACACCATGAGACCAAAGGAGGATACTCTTAGGAGAAGAACACAAAGGCGTAATGCCTGTGTGCATCAGAGCATGTAAAATAATATTTATCAAAATGAACTCCAGGAAATAGAAAGAAGAGTTTTTTCTTTGTTGCTGTTCTTGTTTTCTTTTCTTTCTGTCTTGTTTGTCCATTTATCTGTCTTTAGACGGGTAAGGAGAGGCACAGAAATGGAGGGACAAAGAATGAACAAATGCAGCAGTGGGACTCACTAGACACTTTGTTGAAAATGAATGATATGACTTGTGGGTAGGGATGGGAGAGAGAAAGGGAGGAGGTAACATTGTCCAAAAAGAAATGTAATCATTATCGGATGTAGGGCCTCTGTACACTACCTTTATAAAAACAATAAAAAAGTGATTTGCTACTTTACATGGAAGATACTATACTTCAGGTAATATGGACTCCCCTTCCTAATTTCTCTTCTTCACATTAAGAAGCAATGTGTTGGAAGAAGAGTTAGTAAAGACATAAGGATAACTAAAAGGAAGCTTGTTCTTAGACTTAAAGAGACTAGAAGGAAATGAAAGAATGGAGAGTTTCAGCGAGCTTCCATCTGTCCCATCAATGGAATCATGTTCATAGCCCTGATCACGAGAACCTATCCTGTGGTCTCCCTCTGTGGCACCTGCGTGCTTATTGTGGTTTTATACAAATTACAAAGTTGGCAGTAAAAGCCATTGTAGTTGGTTCTAAGAAATATAATGTGCTAACTCATGTCCCACTTTATACATTCACTGAAAATGCGGTGAAAAAGAAAATGCAAGTAGAGGGTAGAGCCCTTTCAATGATCTCTCTGAGCTTCAAAATGGTCACCTTACCGAAATGAGTTGCATCAAAGGGGCATTGCTGGGGTCGTTAGGGTCAAGCTTGGACTCTGCTGCCCACTTGGCTAACTTCTTCATGTCTGTCAGTCCGGATGTGCCAATGGATGAGATGGCGTCTGCTCTCTTCAAACCACTGGAAAACAAAACAAGACCCAAACTGAACAGCAACCACCTGACCCCACAAGCCTAACTTTACCACACAGCAGTTTATGTCAGGACCACAAAATCCTAGAGACAGAATTGAATATAGAACCCATTATCTCCACCAGAAGGAATCTTAATTTAGGGGCTACTTTATTTGAGGATTGTGAGGGAAGATGTTATAAGGCAATAAAGAATTCGGACTGGAGGGCGTACAACCGTGATCCCTGGAAGAAGTCTCCCAGTGCAGTAATGTGCCTGGTCCTGAGCCCTGGCTAGGAAAGAAGGCTGGTCAGTGTGGTCTAGCATGCCTGGATACCGCACGTCCTAAGTCACTCAGGCAGTGCACAGGAAATCACAAGTTGCCGGGGTATTCCGTAGGTCCCAGCTGCAGCTTTATCAAGTCTGGCACCTCCTGATAGTCATGCTCTGTTTTACCTCCTCTTGCAAGGCTGAAAGCATTAACTCCTGGGACCGCTCTTCAGCACTGAGGTGAAAATGAATGAAAAGTGCCTCTACTCGCAGGCACGACCGGCCTCCGTGGGAAGTGGCTCCCGGCCTGGTGCAGAGATGAACAGCCTCACGCTTCCCTCACACAGAGGCAGGGGTTCGTCTGGAGACGCAGAGGGCACGAGAGGGACAGTACAGGTTCCTCTGCTGATTTCTCACGCAGTGGAAATGACAACTCTACAGCCAAGGTGAATCCTTTTAGTTTAGAGACAGGTGATTCAGGCCTCAATGTCAGGATGGTAGATTCCAGTTGTGCATGGAGAAATGACAGAGGGACCAGGGTCCTGGGACTCCACAGGCTGCTTGGACCAGCATCGCCCAGGGCTTTCTGGACAGGTACTTTCTGGCCAGGGTTGGCCTGAAGATAGACTTAGGGTGCTAGCAATCATGAAAGGAAGGACTTAAATGAAACCAAGAGGTTCTACACCAATCATTAGCAATGATAAATACACACAACCCGGTGCTGTGTACCTCCCATCTGCAAAATGGGGAAAAGAAGACCTCAGACCCTTTTGTGATGCTTAAAATGCTTTTCAGGTTGAAAATGAACTATACAACTTATGTGTGGGGATGGGAGGGAAGAACTGGCCAAGAGGGAGGGAAGGGGTGACATTGTCCAAAGAGAAATGTCCTTGTTACCTCACTTATGCAACTGTCACCCCTGTGTAAATCAACTTCATAATTACAATAAAGAAACAAAATAAATTTTAAAAATGCTTTTCACTGTATCGGGCATGGACAAATAGCTTTCATATAAACACTGACATTAGTCATCAGTTAATTCTTGCCACCAATTACCTCCGACATCCAATGTTCTGATGTGACAGTGGAGGGATTAAAGGTATTCCATTCTCTCCGATGGCCCATGCCACACTGTGGGACACCTTCCCCGAGGTCATTAGAACCATCTGATTGCTGCCATCAGCTTCAAAGGAGAAGGGCACTCCTAGGGAGACATCAACAGGGTATTTGTTTAAAAAGCAGGAGCCCAGGCCTAGTAATAATACAGAGTGCAAACGGATGGAACTGAAATGGGGGGCGGGGCGTGGCTCTGTTGCTGTGCAGCTGTATATAGCTGTGTGTGTGTGGCTTTGACAAGCTACTTGTCTGAGCCATAGTGTTTTACCTGCAAATATGGGAAACTGATAGCACTGTCTTTGCAGACCTATCTCAAAGGTATTTATATTTGCTCATTCAGTCAACCTACTTAATTTGTGAGGCTTTGTCATAAGTAGTGAAGTAAGCACAATTTTAATAATAATGATTAAAACCAAGTTCTCCTCTCAGAGTGTTTGTACTTGAACGAGTGTAAAAGGTAAATACTAAGATAAGTACTTAGTGTGTTTGAGAGTGGCTAAGTGCTAAGGAGAATAGATTAGGAAAGGCAAGCAGGAAATTTGTACTCTGTGAGGATGGGGAAGAGGTCAAAATTTAAATCCAGTGGCTAAGAAAGTCTGACTAAAAGTGACTGAGGAAAAGCAGTGAGACATGGAGGAATGTTTGGAGAAAGTACTCCTGGCAGAAGGAGTGCGTGTAAGTGTCCTGAGGCGGCTGCCAGAGCCCAAGTTCAGTGTATTGATGTCTGCAGAGCACCTCGTGCTTGGCCAGTCATGAGCTCACAGCCACTGCCGGCCATCACAAGCTGTTACGGCTACTATGAGCCCTTACTGTTTCCTTCTGCAAACTAGAAACTAATGATACAGACTCCCTGGGTGATAGGATTTAATCAGCTTTATGATTTCCAGATCTTTTCTTCATATTGAAAGAGCATCCTTTATCTTTATCTTCAAAATACCCTATAAACCAAATGTCAGTGGCTTGCTCCTGTCATCTTAGCAGAGATCCATGGAAGGCAGCGAGTAAGAACTGGACAGTCTGAACGCACAGGAAAGACCCCCTCCTCCAGATGGTGGTGGTACCTCTTGTCCCAGTTATGTAAAGGCTGAATTTGGGAAGAATCATGGTCCTAGGCCAGGTCGGGCAGAAAGATGGTGAGACTCTCTTTCAACAGAGAAGCTGGGACATTGTGGCATGCACCTACCACCCTGGCTATGACAGGAAGTCTAAAATAGGCAGATGTGATCCAGGCACATGCCTGGGTAGAAAGACTATCTCAAAATAACCAGTGGACCAAAGAGCTGCAAGCATAGCTCAATGGTAGAGAGCTTATTTGACAAGCCCAACGCCCTAGTATGACCCAAATGAGTATGAATGAGGCAGAAAATGTTCAAACATGGTACATAACCACTAAATTCACATAGCTTCTCAGTGTCACAACTGACACTAAGTTTGAGTCTCCACATTTTTAAACTGGTGACTGAATTCGGGCCTCAGTGAATTCTTGCAGATAACCTTGAGATATAAGCAAAAATAAAACAACAATGCCGGGCGCTGGTGGCTCATGCCTGTAATCCTAGCTACTCAGGAGGCTGAGATCTGAGGATCTCGGTTCAAAGCCAGCCCAGGCAGGAAAGACAGTGAGACTCCTATCTCCAATAAACCACCAGAAAACCGGAAGTGGCGCTGTAGCTCAAGTGGTTGAGTGCTCGCCTTGAGCTGAAGAGCTGAGGGACAGCACTCAGGCCCAGAGTTCAAGCCCCACGAGCAACAAAAACAAACAAACAAACAAACAAATAAATAAAACAACTAACAAGCCAGGTACTAGTGGCTCAGGCCTGTAATTTTAGGTACTCAGGAGGCTGAGATTTGAGGGTTACAGTTGGAATCCAGCCCATGTAGGAAAGTCTGTAAGATTCTTATCTCCAATAAAATACTCAGAAAAAGCTGGAAGTGAAGCTGTGCATCAAGTGGTAGAGTGCTACCGTTGAGCAAATGAATCTCAGGGACAGCACCCAGGACTTCAGTTCAAGCCTGGCACACATACAAAAAAAAAAATCCAAAAGAAAATCATTGTCAGAAATATTAAGGAAAAAGCCATCTTTGAATAAGAGGCAATGAGATCAAACTAATAAACAGATATTGGAATGATAAGGCTGAATAGTAAAAATATTTTAATATGTACAAATAAAGTTAGATGAATGAATGAAAAAGAAATCACTTATAATCTGAAAAAAGGAAAAAGGAAATCACAACTGACCAGATAAAGAACTAAGTAGAATACCTAGGAATTAACTTAACCAAAGAAGTGAAGGACCTCTATGATGAAAACTTTAAAATCTTGAAAAAGGAAATCAAAACAGAACTTAGAAAATGGCAAAACCTCCCATGCTCCTGGATTGGAAAGATTAACATCGTGAAAATGGCAATACTTCCCAAGGCTATCTACAAATTCAACGCGATACCTACCAAAATTCCAACCTCATTCTTCAAGGAAATAGAAGAGGCAATCCAAAAATTCATATGGAACAATAAAAGACCCCGAATAGCAAAAACACTCCTCAACAGAAAGAACAGTGCTGGAGGAATATCAATACCAAATTTCAAACTCTACTATAAAGCCATAGTAATCAAAACAGCTTGGTATTGGCATAAGAACAGACCTCAGGACCAATGGAATAGAATTGAAAATCCAGAAATGAACCAATAGACCTATAGCCATCTAATCTTCGATAAGGGAGCTAAAACAATAGAATGGAAGAAAGACAGCCTCTTCAGTAAATGGTGCTGGCAAAATTGGTAAACTACTTGTAGAAAACTAAAGCTAGATCCTTATATATCACCCTGCACCAGAATCAACTCAAAATGGATCAAAGACCTCGAAGTCAAAGCAGACAGTCTGAAAACATTACAGGATGGAATAGGAGAAACCCTAGGTCTCCTTGGCTCCGGCCGAAATTTTCTGAATAGAGACCCGGAAACACAACAAATCAAAGAAAGGTTGGACAAATGGGATTGCATAAAGTTGCAGAGCTTCTGCAGGGCAAATGACATAGCTAGCAAGATCAATAGAAAGCCCACGGATTGGGAGAAGATCTTCACTAGCCATACAACAGACAAGGGTCTCATATCTAAAATATACTTGGAACTCAAAAAATTAAACCCCCCAATAACAAACCCTCAAAGAAACAACTGCCCAATAAATAAGTGGGCTAAAGACTTAAAGAGAAACTTCTCTGAAGAAGAAAGAAGGATGGCCAATAGACACATGAAGAAATGCTCAACATCCCTAGCCATAAAAGAAATGCAAATCAAAACAACATCTTACCCCAGTTAGAATGGCTATAATCAAGAACTCTAACAACAACAGATGCTGGAGGGGATGTGGACAGAAGGGAACCTTACTTCATTGTTGGTGGGAGTGTAAACTTGTTCAACCACTTTGGAAAGCAGTATGGAGGTTCCTGAAAAGACTTCACATAGAGCTCCCCTATGACCTAGCAATCCCACTTTTGGGCATTTACCCAAATGTTTACAAACAAGACCACACTAAAGCTACCAGCACAACTATGTTTATTGCAGCATTATTTACCATAGCTAAGATATGGAACCAACCCAGATGCCCCTCAGTAGATGAATGAATCAAGAAAATGTGGTATATATACACAATGGAATTCTATGCCTCCATCAGAAAGAATGACATTGCCCCATTTGTTAGGAAATGGAAAAACTTGGAAAAAATTATATTAAGTGAAATAAGCCAGGCCCAAAGAAACATAGGTCCCATGGTTTCCCTTATTTGCAATATCTAGTATATGTATGAGTCAAGCGGAAAAGGTCAGATAATGTGATGTTAGGAAAATGAACCCTTAGATATGTATTTTAATGCTTTTTTCTTTCATGCATTTGTTTCTAACGCATTTACAAGATTATCTCTTTGTTGCTTTGTATGTCCCTCCCCCACAGTATAACCCCTGCTTTCACTATATTTGATGTCAGTATAACTTGTGGAGGAGATGGGGAAAAACAAGTCGTTTAAGGATACAGGTGGACCTGTTGCAACAATGAGAAGTACAAGGTCATGTTGAAAACGAGCTTTACAACGTTGGTGCGGGGGCGGGGGGGGGGGGAGGTTGGGGGGGGAGGGATGTGAAGGGTAAACAAAGGAGAAGGTTGCAATGCTTGATAAGAAATGTATGCATTATCTTGCCCATGTAATTGTAACCCCTCTGTACAGTATGTTCACAAAAAAAAAAAAATTAAATTAAAAAAAAAAAAGAACTAAGTAGAATTTCTATAGTCAAAAAGTATACTAACTGGAAGGACAAAACAATAATGAATTTCAATGATTAGACACAGCTGAAGAATGAATTCATGACTTGAAAGACCAATTAAAAAAAAAAGACCAAGGGGCTGGGAAGGTGGCTCAGTGGTAGTGCTTGCCTTGCATGCCTGAGGCCCTGGGTTCGATTCCTCAGCACCACATGAGCAAAAAGAAAAAAAAAAGCCCGTTAGTGGCGCTGTGACTCAAGTGGTAGAAGGCTAGCCTTGAGCTGAAGAGCTGAGGGACAGCACCCAGGCACAGAGTTCAGGCCCCATGACCAGACCCAAAAAAAAAAAAAAAAAGACCAATTTAAAGAAATTAAATAGAACGTAGCAGTGAAAGAAAATGATATGCAAGGGGCTGGGAAGGTGGCTCAGTGGTAGAGCGCTTGCCTTGCATGCTCGAGGCCCTGGGTTCGATTCCTCAGCATCACATAAGCAAAAAGAAAAAAGCCGGAAGTGGTGCTGTGGCTCAAGTGGTAGAGCGCTAACCTTGAGCTGAAGAGCTGAGGGACAGCGCCCAGGCCCAGAGTTCAGGCCCCACGACCGGACCGCTCCCCCCCCCCAAAAAAAGAAAATGATATGCATTTTTTAAAAGTAAAGAAACATGTTAGAGTGAGGTCAATCATATACCTTCTTAGAATTGTAGGAGATGAGATTATAATTTCTCTATTATTACTATTAAAGTTAATATTCTCTTAAGCCTTAAATCACTGTTATTTTTTCATCCACAGAGCTTTATCTTGAGTTATAATTAATTTTTACAAAAGATTACTAGATATGAAATTAATAAATCATAGGACAAATAACAGTTTACAAAAATGACTTGGTGAGTAAGGCACTGGTGGCTCATGCCTGTCATCCTAGCTACTTAGGAAGCTCAAATCTGAAGTTCTAGGTTCAAATTCAACCCCAGTAAGAAAATTCATGAGACTCTTATCTCCAATTAACTACCAAAAGGCTGGAAGTGATAATGTGGGTAGAGCACTAACATAAGTACAAAAGCTCAGAGACAGTGCCCAAGCCCTGAGTTCAAGTCCCAGTACTGGCACAAAACAAAAGACTTAGCAAAAAAATCATGTATTATCGTTGTTTTAATTTGAATGAATTGTCTGAGGAGTGAAGGAAAAGCCATAATCCAATCTCCAGCCACGGAGGATGGTTAGCTTTGCATACATACCACTTCCAACTCCTTCATGGTCCAGGGTCACGTGCTGGTTACTGCTGAACTCCACTTCCTCCATGGGAGCTCTTCCAGTCACAACAGTAGTCTCAGGAATAGGCAGAAACACCTCAGCTAGCAAGCTGGTACTACTGTATCCAACAGTTTCATAGACCTGAAACCCAGGGGAGAGAGCCAGCCAGTAAAAGAAAACAGAACAGAATGTGTGTACTCTTAGATAATCAATCCACATATTTGTGGGTTTGTGCTGGTCATTATCCTAGCCTAGAAGTCTCATTTCAGAGGAGAAAGTTGAGTTGCATTGCTGTGGTCCACGGAGAACAACTTATACCCTTGTTTGTAGACAAGTTTCTGACCCCCTGTTTCTTGCCCGGCTTACCTGCCTGCAGCAGGGAGGTTGTGAGTGGAATGGGGCTCCAGCTGTTTCTATTCCAAATCAACAATGCAAGCTAGAGAGTGGGCTTCTTTTTCCTGGTTCAAATTGTTCTCAGAGGAAATGGATGAAACAAGGACACACCACTAGATGGTCTCTTATTGTACCAGTATCTACACTGGAAGCACTCCAGAGGGTCACATTTAAATCTACTTTGGGAATCTCTAAAATTGCATTGTAGGACTTTCTTTGTTAATGGCTGAAGTCCCACACACTTTGCCCTAGACCTTCTATGATGGAGCCATCTAGATCACTAGGGTTCAGATACTAATTACTCATGCCATCACCAGGAGGTGGTGATAAGAATGTACAACCCAAAGCTGGGAGTCAGTGGTTCATGTTTATAATCCTGGCCACTAAGGAGGCTGGGATCTGAGAACCATGGTTTGAAGCCAACTTGGGCAGAAAAGTCCATGAAACTCTGATCTCCAGTTAACTACCCCCAAAAGCCAGAAGTGGAGCTGTGGGTCAAGTGGTAACGTGCTAGCCTTGAGCACAAAAGCTCAAGAAGAGTGACCAGGCCCTGAGTCAAAACCCCAGGACCAGAACAACAACAAAAAAAGAATATACAATTCAGCCTCAGTTAGACTTTCTGTTTCATTTGGTCAAGTCTCTCCTGTATTCTTGGCTCACATTACTTTTGTGATATAACAACAAAATACTTCATGGTTCTAATGACTTATTTTCTGTATTTTATTGTTTTTTTTCTCCATGACCTTTGAGTAACACTGGTGAACTCTGATGCCTCAATTTCTGCTTTTACTTCTATTAATTAATCCTTGCATTTTGTCTTTTGTAATAGGGCCTCCTCTGGATCAATGATTTTCTCTTTTACTTCAGTGCACAAAGGTGACATTCTGAATCCTCTCTGCCTACCCTTCATTACAAGACATGTGACCTGTGGCCTTTCCCACCGTGAGGATGAACTTGGGCCTGGCTACCATTCTGGCCTCATCTCTCTTAAATCCATTATCCCATGTTTGCAAAATAGCTAAGTGAGCTTGAAGGGACCAGAGTGGGGGTGGGGGGGGGGCAGGCAAAGTCAGAGGCAGAGTTTGCATAGGAACTACACTCAGGACCTCAGACATAATGTCCCTGTGAAAGGCTGTATCTACCAAGAGGCAGGCTTGCCTGTGGTGCAGTGGTATAAGAGGAAGCCATAGTGGGACACTGATGCTCCTGTCCAAATTCATCTTTACCACTAAAAAGGGTGGTGATTTTTATCTATCTTAAAATATTCTTGGTATGGGGCTGGGAAGGTGGCTCAGTGGTAGAGCACTTGCCTTACATGCTCGAGGCCCTGGGTTCGATTCCTCAGCACCACATAAGAAAAAAGCCGGAAGTGGCGCTGTGGCTCAAGTGGTAGAGCACTAGCCTTGAGCTGAAGAGCTGAGGGACAGTGCCCAGGCCAGAGTTCAGGCCCCACAACTGGACCCCCCCCCCCCCGCAAAAAAAAAAGAAAGTAAAATATTCTTGGTAGATGTCAGATGTATATTACAATAATGTAATCATCATCATCATCATCATAATGAATATGATGGTACCTAGCCTTAACTATCATGGACTCATGGCAAATCTCATTTCATCTATACTGTCAACTATTCTCTTCTCCTCCAATACCTTGAACCTAGACATTATTTAATCTGTAACTATTAATCTGTGCATCTGTAAATGTGTCCTTAAAAATTATTTTACAGGTACAGGGACTGAACTTAGGGCCTCATATTTTTACTTGGCTTTTTACTCAAGGCTGGCATTATACCACTTGAGCCACACTTCCAGTTTGAGCTTCTTCTGCTTAAGCAAAGATAAGAGTCTCACAGACTTTTCTGCCCAGGCTGGCTCTGAACGGCAATCCTTAGATCTCAGTCTCCTGAGTATCTAGGATTATAAGTGTAAGTTACTGGAGTCTGGCAATAAAAGGCATTTCTAAAGGAAGAGACTAACCTTTTCTTCTTGAAAATTTATTGTGATGTCTCCGTAGCCAAGAGATGGTTTAAAACCATCTCAAACCTTTAGAGACTACAAAATTCTTGGGATCGTGACTATAATGAAAATGCACACCTGAAGTGTTAAACTCTCTGGCCAGTTGAATATTTGCAAGTTGAAAATCTGTCCAAAGTGAACTCGGAAGTCTGGTCCTAGTTGCCGGCTCACCGTTCTGGATACCTCCTTGCTGTTGAAGAGGACTTTTAAATACACCGAGCGCCTCTTGACATCATCCCTTCGCAAGACCTCCACCCTGCAGGTGAGACCATTTGCAGCTGTCATTAGCATTCATTTCATAAATGTCACTGAAATCATTGACAAATGCACAATGAACATTATAAGAGACACTGGAGGTAACTCTCTATATAACAGCCCCTATTTTAACCAAAATAGCCACAGCTTTCCTAGAACTTAGTACAGTGAAAGATGTAACATAAGCTGGGTGCTGGTGGCTCATGCCTCTAATCCTAGCTACTCAGGAGGCTGAGATGTGAGGATTGTGGTTCAAGCCCCAGGACCAGCAAAAAAAAAAAAAAATGTAACATAGAGCCTACAGAGAAGTCATTGGCAGACAATGGAAGGGGGTATGCTGCTGGAAGTAACATTGTACTGTGGTCTCAATTTTCTCAAACAAGCCTTACATTTGCATCCCAAACAAAACATTAAAGAAATTCTCTCTCTCTCTCTCTCTCTTTCTGTTAGTCATAGGGCTTGAACTTAGGGCCTGGGCACTGTCCTAGAGCTCTTTTGCTCATGATCCTCAGATCTCAGCCTCCTGAGCATCTAGGATCACAAATGTGAGCCACTATGCATCTCTTGTTAAATGGAATGAATTCAAACCATAAGAGATAGTAATGATTTATACTTCGTTAATAAGTTCTATTATAAAAATGTTAATAGCCTATTGATAGCAAGTCTGTTTGTTGGATGGACTCATTATCAAGTTTGATCAAGTCTTTCTGTAAGATTCTTCTGCTCATACTGTGTAGTGCAAGAGAAATAGCATCATATCCAGTGTGTTTGTGTATGTACTGGTGTACATATGTACCCATGAGTGTGCAAACCTTGCTCACCTGGGACACTGGTCATTGGGCGTCACACTCCCTGCCAGGCTCAGCTCTGGGACCAGCATGGGCTCCCCTGGCCGCCTCCTGCTGTGGGCTGCTCGCTCCCTCACCCGCTGCTCGATGGCTGCTGGGTCGGTGGGCTCTGGAGGGATGGGCTTCACAGGGCCTTCCTCAGCAGGGAGCTCCTCAGTCTCTTCATCCAGATCCTCTTCTGCTGCTTGCTTCTTCTTCTTCTTCTTGGCCCTCTGTTGGATAAGAGACCACATGATGTCAAGTAGGAGCCTGAGAATTTCACACAGGTGTGCAGTGTTTCATGCTAGATACACCTGGGTGCAAACCCAGTCCATCTCTCCCAGCTGATCCCTGAAGGGCCTCAGTTCTTTCACCACCAAGTGGAGACAAGCAGAAGAGAGTCCTCCTAGGGCTACCAAAATGAAGAAACCCCTGTAAAAGTACTTATCAGAAGCATCCATACCCTATATTCAAGGTGCTAATACATGCTAACTACTTAGTACTACTACGTGACATAAATATCAGCAATTATTATTACCCATACAGAGCCCTACCACTGGACTCTACAAAGCCAGCTCTGCTGTGAGACAGCAGAATGGCCTTTGAACAAGTGCTTTTGTCATTCAGTTTCCCTCTGCCCTTCCAGGGAGAGGGCAGGAAGAGAGACAGTGAAGATCAAGCAGGGGATGCCTGTCTGCCAGTTCAGCTTCTCTTCTCCTGTCTCAGAGCCTGCTTTCCCATACCCACCCCCCGCCAGCCTTGTTCCAGGTTGAGCAATGGTCTCTACACACTTGGGCTTTCTTCCAAGCTTTCCATTGCTGGTGGGAAGTTCTATACTCTTCCATCTTCTGTTCATATGCTTCTGTGTGTTCCTCCACCAATTCTCTTATTTCAGCTTGAATTTCTGCTTCATATACTTCCTCATCTGCTTTCTTGTCAACTTTTTCCCTGAAAATCAATTTAGGGTAGCTTGGTTATGCCTGGACATCAAGTAAGAATGTAATAATCCTTAGGTGCCAGGTTTGCTCCTAAAAATGCTGTATTAGTTACTTTTCTTGGAAGGTAGAGCATGCTGGAGAATAGAACCCAACACCTTGTGCACACAAGATCAATTCCAAATGATGAATGATTAACGATGAAATATGACATGAAAAAAATGTAAGGATTGTAGGAGATAATATAGAATAATATATATTTTATATTGGTTATATACAATATATTGATTATATAGTATATAGTATAGAATAATATATATTATATAAAATATAATATAGAATATCTACATGACTCAAGGGGTGGATTTCTTTTTTGTTGTTGGTGGTGTTGGTTGTGGGGCTTGAACTCTGGGCCTGAGCATTGTTCCTGAGCTCTTCAACTCAGGGAGCCATAGCACCATTTTTGGTTTTCTGGTAGTTAATCGGAGATAAGAGTCTCACAGACTTTCCTGCCTGGGCTGGCTTTGAACTGTGATCCTCAGATCTCAGCTTCTTGAGTAGCTAGGATTACAGATATGAGCCACTGGTACCCGGCCAGGGGGGTGGATTTCTTAAGCAGCGTATAAAAATCACCAATCATAAATAACTAATATATTTTATCTATTTAAAATTATGACTTTCTATTAAAGACATCAGGGGAAAAGAGAGAGACATACAGAGAAAGAAAAACAGAGACAGAGAGACGGAAAGAGATATATACCTATAGGATAGCCCATCAACAAACTCTCATATCCAGTATATGAGATCTACTTATATTCAGAACTCACTCAAGTTACAGAAAAAAGCTTTAAAAAAAGACACAAGCCAGTTCAAAAAAATTGACATTAGTCTTGAACAAGCACCTCACAAAAGGACACACTCAGATAACCAATTCATGTATTTAAAAAAGGCCCACCTTGATGAGAGGGAAAAACTAAGAGAGAGTGAGGGAAGGGGTTACACTGTCCAAAAAAAAATGCACTCTTTACCTGATGTATGCACCGTAACTCCTCTGTACATCATCTTTAGAGTAACAATAATTTTTTGAAAGGCCCGCCTTTATGAGCAATGAGGGAAATATTGAACATGCCAGTGGCTTGGCAAAATGTGAATGATTAGCCCATCAGGTGGAAGGAATGACCTTGGAGCGTAGGCAGCAAGAACACTGGTAAAGGTAGGAAGAGGCATTGCCACTCATCTGGGTACATTTTTGGGAAATTTGGGCATATATACCTAAAAAACAAGGCTGAAAATATCTATAGAAATGACATCTATGACAGAAAAAAGGAATCAACTCAAAGGCCCATCACCTCTGAAAGCTGCTACTGTATTCATATAATGATGTTTTATAAAAAGAAAGAAACAGAGAGAAAAAGAGAGAGAAAGAAAGAAAGAAAGAAAGAAAGAAAGAAAGAAAGAAAGAAAGAAAGAAAGAAAGAAAGAAAGAAAGAAAGAAAGGAAGGAAGGAAGGAAGGAAGGAAGGAAGGAAGGAAGGAAGAAAGGAAGAAAGAACACAAGGGCTGGGCATGGTTATATATGCATGTAATCTCAGTTACTCAAGAAGCAGACATAAGAGAATCACAGTCACAGAACAGTCCAGGCAAAAGCAAGAGACCCTATCTGCAAAACAAACTGAAAATGAGCAAACTAATAAACAAAGGGCTGTAACTCAAGAGATAGAGACACCAAGTTCCATCCCTAGTACCACCAACAAAATACAAAATACAAACAACTTTCTTTCTGTGCAGAGAGTTGAACCA